TCTTGGCTTTGGAGGTCAAAGCCATGAGTTTTGTATGGGAAAAAGACTCCACCTCTTATTGCCACTCCAGCTCAGAAAGAAGCTGGCAGCACATCACAAAGCACTCATAGAAAATAGGGTTATTCCCCTTAACTTTACAAATGCCACCCCAAAGCCTCCCACTCTTCTTGGAAGATTTAAAAGCCATCTCCTCCTTCTAACTGATGCCTATGTTTCTGTATTTCAATCCTATTTACTCTATTGAATTTTGTTACAAAATCAGAGAGTTCTGTCCCATTGGAAATGAAATTTGTTGGGAAAATGTAGAGAGTGGAAATCCCACCTACAAGTTATATCTAAAATTTTTTAAATTGTATTTGCCAAAGTTGCATTTTTTTCTTGTTTAAAATGGGTCATAGAATAAGAGCAAGAGTTAACACAAGGCACAAAGCATAAAGTAGCATTTCCCTAAAAAGGGGTTTGTTCTATAGTCAATTTAATTTGAAAATATTGCAACCTTTATCAGCAGTGGTTCTCAAACTATAGCTTGCAGCAGAATCCCCTGGGAGTTTGTGAAAACCTGGATTTCTGGACCCACTCCCAAGTGTCCAATTCAGGAGGCCAGCTGTGGGCCTGAAAATCTGCATTTCTGACAAGGTCACAGGGGGTGCAGCTGGTCTGGGGACCACATCGACAGTCCATGCTCTAGAAGACTGTAAGGGCTCAAGAAACCCTGGGACAAAGAAATCTGCTTAATGTTTCAACGCTCTCTCTAGACTCCTCAGAGGGGCTCAGATGTCTCTCAGTACACAGGTCAGGGAAATGAGGTTAAAGGGCACTTACCCTTTTCTCCCTTTCATTTTTTTCACTCCATCGTGTCCTCTGCTCTTCAGTTTAGCTCAACTGGCATTTTTGTAGTGCCTATTGCATGCCTGACTTCAGGACTATACTAGGTCCCAGCAATCTTTGCCTTTTCTTTTCTGGTAGCCCTCTCCCATGTCTGCCTTAAGCCTATACTAGAATTAGAAAAAGAAAATGCTGATTCTTGCCTTGAAACAAACTCATTCAAGGAAGGCATAGTTTAATGAGTTTTTTTGCTGTTAATGGCTCACAATGGTTGCTTTTTTGTGAGGCCCATGTTAGGACAACTGGGTGTCTCCTGGATACTGGGCAACAAGGAGAAACAGCCAAGCTTCCCAGTGAGGGAACATAGGTCCGCACACTATCCCTCAAACAACCCTGTGCAAGTGGGCCACCATGAGACACCAGACCAAGGATTCTGATCAGTGGGATATGAGTCTGAATTTCCAGTAAGCCCCCAGGTGATGTCCATGGACCACACTTGCAGGTTATATGTTTCTTTTCCTAGGGGTGGGGGGGATATATTAATCTTAAAGCCTGGCTAGCTGAGTTAAATTCAGACTCTAGCTGTGTCATCTTAGTAGAATTAAGTTTCTGAACCTGTTTCCTTGCTATAATATGAGCACTATCATGCCTAACTGCTAAAATTGTTATGAGGTTTAAATGAACTCATGTATGCAATGTCCCCATGGTGATGTCTGGAACACTGTAAGATGAATTTACTCTAGTGACTTTATTCTGGGTATTTAGAAGGACTTTCTCCTCAGTCCTGAGCCCAGGGAGCTGACTTTTCAGGCACTGTCACCATCTGTTTGCTAGCTTTTCTGAGCTTCTTCCACCCCAGGGTAGCAGGCCCAGAGAAGGTGGCTACCTGCCACTCTTCCTTTGACAAGTGTCTATTGAGCTTTTGGGGGCTGGGGGCCCAAGATGGATCAAAAATGACCCCTTGGTCCCAGCTCCAAGAAACTTACAGTCTAGTGGGGACTGAGCTGTGTACGTTCATCACACTAGTATGAGGTGGACATTCCTTAGGAAAAGGGCCCTGGGGAAAATCAAAGCAAAGGAGGCAGTAACTCTGGGGATGAATCTGAAAAACACTTTCTGAGATAGAAGGCCAACATGGGTTTTGAAGAGTCATAGGAGTTTGTCACGCCTATTGGAGGAGCAGAAGGGGTAACATTCTGGGTAGTGATAACTGGTGACCCAGAAGAACCAGAGTTTAACCCTATGTAGGGAAGTGGACCTAAGGCTGCCAAGGCAGGGAGGTGGGCAAGGAGCCCACCCTCTATCTGGGGAGGGTAGCAGAGGTCAGGACTGTGGGGGTTTGAAGCAGGTACGAAGTCTGGGGAGCTGGACATTCTGCATTTTAGTGTCAAGAAGATAGGGGTTGGTTGTCAGATGCTTCAGAAAAATCAGGGGAGTTTAGGGCTGACCAAGCCTTTTGGATATAGTCACTCAGAAGTCACCAGTGTCCTGGGTGAGAACACTTTTGGGGAGCAGAGAGGAGAGGAAGAGGAGTCATTAGGCAAAAATTCTTCCATGACTTGGACATGAAGAAACAGAATGAGTGAATGAGGCAGAAGGGACAGGCAAAGTTCTGTGCTATAGAATGGATTATGGACTCAACCTACTAGTTCCCCCCCAGAACACTGTGGGCTAAGGCTGCAGACTTTAATATTAACAGTAAATGATAATTATAGTACTAGTCGCTAATAAGTGTAGATCTCTTTTTATATGCTGATGTTTTCTATACATCATGTCAGCCCTGTGAGGCAGAGACAATCATTATGCCCATTTCATCAAGGATGAGGAAAACTGAGGCACAGCAAGGTTAGGGACTTGTCCAGGGTTACGTGGCTGGGAAGCAATGGGGCTGAGATTTCAGACCAGGACCTTAACACTCTGTGCTAACCTACATGCATCTCAGTTGCCTTCTCTTGCCTTGGTGAGGACTTGCACATGGCCTCCCAGCTCCATCCAGGGTCCTTGTGTCCAGACCCCAGCACACGGGTTGGGGACTCAAAGACACTTTGCTCCAGCCCCCTACTGGTCTGATGGGGAAAGGTGGCCAACTTGATTGAGCCTGGTGGCCTGCTCTGCACTGCAGCTTCCTGATAGAAAAAATCCATAGACCCAGGGCCTGGTCTGTGTCCCTGTGTCTTATGCCATCACAGTGCTATTCTGCCTATGGCTAAGCCCAGTCCTGCCTATGGAAAATTGAAACTCATGGCTAAGGTCACCAAAGAGCCCTTCTGCATTGAACCTCCGCCTCTGAGCAGTTCGGTTTCCCCACCACTTCTGGGTAACTCTGGCAACTTGTTTCCTCCAAGCCACCTGCTATGCTTGGAACAAGACCAGCCTTCTTCAGTGCGCTTTACCCTACTCCCTTCCAAACACAAAACTGTGAAATGGAAAATGAAGCTGTTAGCAGGAAAGCAGCAGGGGAAGCAGAGGAAACAAGAGCTCCTGCCTCTCCTAGCCCCAGGAAGCAGATTAGTGCAGGTTTTCTCCTGCCTGTTCCATTACCTGGCCATGCTGTTACCTGCTTGTTTGACCTCGAATGAGCTAGGTGCCCTCTCTGGGCCTCAGGTTCCTCTTTTTACAATAACAGGTCTTTGAGGTCCCTTATATTCCAGTTGTCTGTATGTATATAGAAATATTTTCCTCTAAAGAACAATGCAAGTATTCTCCTCCCAACTTGGTTCCTGGATCTGTGGCTTCCTCTGAGTACTGCCTCACATGACCCTGTTTTGAATTTAAAGATACTCAGCTGGAGAGACTATGACCCTCTCCCGGTGGGGGATGACTGGACTGTGAACTGTGACTCATACCCAATTTCCCACAAGATGCCCAGGACCTCTTTCCTGGGCTCCATCTGGCACTGGGCCACTGTAGGGAACCGATCCATGGGTTTGGCTCCTGTGTACCACACCCGCTTATGGGCTTTCCCATAGGGCTGAGCTATTCCAGCCCTTTGGAAAGCCCATAGGCGGGTGTGGTACACGGGAGCCAAACCCATGGATCGGTTCCCTACAAGCTACCCTCAGGTCTGGGGATTGTAGGAACCTGGGAAGACCTCTCCTCTCCCAGAAGGAAGTCCTTTCCAAACTGAGACTGACACTGGATGTCACAGGGAGACTTGCCCATGGGGATAAGACAGGTAACTGCTTGCTACTTTCAGCCACATGTGTGCCACAGAGAGAAACTGAGGCAGTGTGTTACAGCGAGCACTGGCCAGAATTCCCAAACCTCTGTTCTGTGCCTAGCTTGGGTTCTGTAGGGAAGCCTGGGAAGCTTTTTCCCTTCCTCTCCACCTTTCCCAGGCCCACCTGACACCTGCCTCCTCCAGAAAGCCCTTAGGATTGTTCAGACCACTGATAGCTCACTCCTTATTGCCTACAGCCTGCACTTTGAATCTGTCAAGCTCCTGTCCTGGGTTATTTTTCTATCCTGTGTAAGAAGCATTCAGAAACTGTATCCTCCTCAGCACCAGCCACATAGCCACAGTTAGATAGAAAGTAAATGAGGATTAAACTCAACTGAATGCTGATCCCTCTAAAACTCAGGACACTTGGTTGAGCAACTGCATAGGTGATTTGGCGTTCTGTCCCTGAAAGCTTCCCTGAGAATGAATGAATGCATGGACAAGAGCATGCATGCAAGGGATTAGAAGCACTGCAGACTTTTTTTTTAACAGGTATAATTTTTTAGATTTTTACATTTATTTTTAGAAAGGGAAAGGGAGGGAGAAAGGGAGAGAAACATTAATGTGTAGTTGCCTCACATGTGCCCCCTACTGGGGAACCTGGCCTGGAACCCAGGCATGTGCCCTGACTGGGAATCAAGTCAACAACCCTTTGGTTCTTAGACCGATGATCAATACACTGAGTCATACCACCCAGGGCCATAGACTGTTCTTGATGGCAGGCAGCCAATCTCTGTCATGGGTGAGGTACAGGAGGAGGAGCATCAGTGTGGGTGCAAGTTTCTATCCTGGTTCCACAGGACCAATCAGCAATTCCCAGGAGCTGCCCTGGGCTCAAGTCTCCACTGCCCAGGTAGTATCTAGAGGCTCCATAAGACCACAGTGTGAAGGGTCTTTGCAGAGAGAGGCCCAGCATATGTGAGAGAGGTGATGCCGTCTGTCCCCTGTTGTGCAGAATGGAGAACCTGTTTATCAACCGCTTCATGCACATGTTCCAATCTTCCTGGAGTGACTTTGCTGACTTTGAAAAAATCTTCGTCAAGATCAGCAACACTATTTCTGGTGAGTGTGCCTTTGGGGGCTCTCATGGTGCTGGAAGACTAGTCTGGAATTGGAAAGTACTGCCCCACTCTGCTCCACCATGGCTGGCCTGCCAGGCCCAGCTGCCCAGGTCCAGCTGCCCAGGCATCCCCATTACCCAGGCTGTCACCCTCTGTACCTGCCACTATGTTTTCTTTAGTGGTTGCACATTTTGTATTACTACCAACAGTGCACAAGTGTTCCAATTTCTCTACATCCTCATCTGTTGCCTTTTTTTTTATACTAGCCATCATGACAGGTGTGAGGTAGTTCTAACTTGCATTTCCCTGATCGTTAAGCTCACTGAGCATTTTTTCATAGACCTACTAGCCATTTATGTCTTCAGAGAAATGTCTAAGTCCTTTTACCCACTTTTTAATTGGGCTACTAGCTTTTTTTTTGTTATTGAATTATAAGTCTTCCTTATATATCTTGTACATTAACCCATCACCTCCCATTCTGTACACTGACTTTTACTCTATTGATTGCTTTCATTGCTGTGCACAAGTTTTCAGTTTAATTCACTCCCATTGGCCTATTTTTATTTTTGTCCTTGAGAAAAGAGTACACAGGAACCTTCCAAAGCCCATCTCAGGGAGAATAGGCTGGTGCTGGCCTGACCCAGTGACAGGCAGGGGGACAGGTGACTGGACATGGCAGGAAGAGCCTAAGGTCAGCCAGGTGTCTAGGGAGTGCCTGGGAGAAGGGACTCAGCCAGGCCCAGGCTGCCCCCACTGAGATCTCAGGCTTCTCTCCTCCATAGAGAGGGTCATGAATCACTGGCAGGAAGACCTCATGTTTGGTTACCAGTTCCTGAACGGCTGCAACCCCGTGTTGATCCAGCGCTGCACAAAGCTGCCCGAGAAGCTCCCAGTGACTACAGAGATGGTGGAGTGCAGCCTGGAGCGGCAGCTCACCTTGGAGCAGGAGGTCAAGGTAAGGCCTGGTTTGCTGGGGACAGTGATCCAGTCCAGAGGCCAAACTCAATGCCTAGGTCACATTATGTTGGCAGAAACCACCTTCTGTGGGCCAGTGCTTACTGGCCCCATGCTGTCATTCCCAGGCTCATCTGTTGGGCTAATAGATCAGCTGCCCTCAGTTAAGCAACTTCTTCCTTTTCCTGGGCATTTATGAAATGTCTTGTCTAATGTGGGAAGAGGAATTGGCAGTGATATTGCTACATAATGCCTGGCTCTAGGAACATAATATCAATATTTTAAATATCAATGTCAATAATTCAAAGAATTATTGACAGGCCTAGTCAGGCCTCTGACTAGGGGCCTGTCATAGGTCAGGCATTGTGAGGGAAGCTTTACTTGCATGGCTATCAAATTGTTACCCAGCTTGCAAAGGTGAGGAAATTGGTAAAAGAAACAACCATGCAGCATAAACAAACAAATAAATCTGATGGAATTTTTTACTTTCTCATATAAAGGTTGATGTCGTCTGCTTCTGCCCTCACCCTCTCCCCAACCTTTCCTCCAGCCTTCACCTGCAGGGTTAGCACTCTAGCACTCTTGCTTGCTCAGCTCACCTTGGAGCCCCAGCCAAAGAGGGATGGTCAGTGCCATCTGTGGACAGATCTGTTAGCCCCTACACCCTGTCCATCTAACTCTGGAGGGCTACCTTCCCAGATGAAGTTCCCAGGAGAGGCCCCTGCTCCAGGGCAGGTGGCTCTAGCCACCCTCACTTACTGGACCTGGCCAGGCACCCAGACACTACCTGGTTACATAGATGTCTGACAACAACAACACATGCCCCCATGCAGGCAGCACATACAGCAATATTCCTCTGTAGGTCAATTACTGGGTGTATTAACACTGATTCAGTGCTACAGGTTTCAAACTTCAAATCAGAAAATCTCAGAATTGCAAGGCATTGAGCAGATATCTGTGTGCCTAGCTATCCTGTCAGGGGACAGGCTCTGCTCCAGGGTCCTTGCCATTTCCAGGGCAGGTGGGTTGGAGCCATCTTTCTCATAATGGTCATCTTTCCTTTGAACCATAGTCTGAACAGTCAGCTGTGGTTTTGGCCCTGAAGCAGTAATCTAATAGCCACCACTGACCAGAGTCACACACACATGCCACTCTATCACCTATGCACAACCCTCAATTCCCTGAACCAGTCACTGTGGCCAGGAGAATCACGTTGACCAGATGGAGAGAAGAGGGACACAAGGCAGGCAAGACCACTAGTGTCTACAGCAGAATCCTAGAGTCAGAACTGAGAGACAGGGTTGGCTCTCTCTGTTTCCAGAACAATGACACTGAAGCCCAAAGAAAGGGGGTGGCTTGGGATAACAGAGAAATGCCCCAATCTCAGGCCCAAATCCCAGACCTCCTGGTTCCCAGGACTAGGTTTGCAGGGCCTCCCTTCATTCATCACATTAACTACCCTGGGTCCTCTCACAATTTGACTGGCAGCCATTCCTTCCGCACAGTAGTCACTAATGGTCACCTCTGCTTTGAAAGGCCAGTTGTCCAGCCCATCACAGAAGCTCACACAGCCCTGTGACCCACCAGCCTGCATGTCCAGGTGTCCTGAGGAATCCTGTTGCACACTGTCCTGAAACCCTTCCTCTGCCCTGGTTGGCCAAAGATACTATCCCTCACGTTCTCATTCTCCTGCCCCACAAGCACCATAGACAGATGCTCAGAGCTCATCACCAGTGTCACATGACTGCTGGGGTCCTTTGCATTCACAAAGGAAGACAATGGTAGCTGGAGTCTCAAGTCTCTGGTCTTTTGTACCCCTCAGCCAAGGTGCATGAAGTGTGTGCACGGGTGGCCACAGTGCATCCTCTGCTGGCAGAGGTGCGAACACACAACTCCCTTAAGGTCTGTTGACCTGTTTCTGCCATATTGTAGACCCTGACCCCTTCCCCAGCTACCCACAACCCCTACTTCCATTACTCATTTAAAACGAGAAAGTCCCAGTGATGTAAAGTACAGCATAGGGAATATAGTCAGTAATATTGTATAACTATGTATGGTGTCAGGTGAGTACTAGATTATCCCTTGAATTATTTCATAAGCTACATAAATGTCTAACCATTATGCTGTATACCTGAAACACACACACACAATGAAGGCTTAAGAAGGCCCTCTACTGAAACCCCAATCATGCAAAAGGAAACCTGGAATATTCAGGTTGGGATTCCTCTAGAGGACTCAAGTGTAGTCTGGAAAGAGCTGTTTTCTACCTCCCCCAAATCCCAGACACATTTGTTCTATAGTGAAACATAATAACTACAGAAGAGGGTGTAAATCAGGAGTGTCAAGCATGGTCGATGAACTTGCACCAAATACCCATCCCACTGGGCCACCAACCTCAGACAAGGACACAGATCATACCACTCCTGCAGACGCTGCATGCCCCAGCCCCTGCAGCTTCTCCCTACTCCAGAAGAGCACCCCCCACCCGAAGACCCTAACTTGATCCTGTAGATCCCTGCCTGCCTCTATAGAGACAGCCCTGACAAAGTCCACTCCACCCCAGGCCCCCAGCAGAATTTGCCTAGTTTTGAACTTTATGGAACTGGAGTCCTACGGCTACACTCTTTGCTGTTTGACTTATCTATTCCATATAAAGTCCATCTGCTGGACAGCTTATTAAGCTGTCACTCTGGGTGGTCTTTCAACATTGTTCATAAGGGTCAAGATTTCAGGTACAACAAATACGAAACTGGCCATTTCCATGCTTTACCTTGTGGAAAATGAAAACAACTCTACAACCTGAAAACTCTTGACAAAAACCAACCCTGAGTCAGAGAACAAAAGAAGTACAAATTCTGAATTCCACTGAGTTGCAGGGGCTTCCAAAGCTGCCTATCCCTCCCTCTGGGCCTCATTCTAGGATCCATTGCTAGCTGACACTCATTTGGACATATTTTCTCTGGCTTCCTGCAGCAAGGGAACATCTTCATTGTGGACTTCAAGCTACTAGATGGCATTGATGCCAACAAAACAGACCCCTGCACTCTGCAGTTCCTAGCTGCACCCATCTGCTTGCTGTACAAGAACCTGGCCAACAAGATTGTCCCCATTGCCATCCAGGTAGGCTACCAGCCTTGTTCTTTCCCTGGGTGGCTTCACTCTCAGCAGGCAGAACTCAGGGAGGAATTTGTTTTGGTGGCTCCTCAGAAGGATGCTGAGAGCTCTACCAGGTAGACAGGAAAAACAAGAACATAAGGTTTTCTGCCAGCTGTGGGGAGGGCTGTCCACAGGGACAGAAAGGGTTCCATTCCTCAAGATACACTTGAGAAATTCCTGGCAAAGTGAGGTATTCTGCAGAGGACCTGCCCTTGGATAACATATTTCCCCAATATTGGGGAGGAGCCCAAATCAAAGTACCAACAGGGGCCAGGCAGATGAAGCTGTGACAGGGGCTGAAGACTGAAGCCACCGAGAGGCACCACAGAGGCTGGGTCAGGAACTGGGCTTCTCCTGGGAAGCTGTGTTTGAGTGTCCACAGGTCTTGTTTTCACCAGGGGCCGTAGAAGAGGAGAGAGGGGAGCAGTTTGGGGGAGTCAGGTGGGGGCAAAGTTTCATCCCTCCCCATCCTGGCTGCCCTCTTCTTCCTCAAAGCACCAGGATGCTGCAACACTGTGGGACCTGGTGTACAGATAGCAGGAAACAACACCTAGGACAGGACTAGGTATAGGCCCTTGTGGGTGGTCTGCACTGAGGACCTGTGCCCCCACAGGCAGGTAAGCATTCAGTAAGCAGTACTTTTAACCAACCATGAATCAGACATTGAGTACTACAGACATAATAGCAGCTGATTTTGTCAGGTGCTAACCACATGCCAAGACTATCCCTAAGGGTTAACCTGCACAGTCCACAATCCCTCATCCTCAATTATGAAATGTAAAAAACTCTAACACTTACAGGTTTTCCAAAAACTGGCAACAAGCTCATTGGTAGTAAAACTTGCTCTGAACCAATAGAAGAGGCTATTATTAAAGGCTTTATCCCATTCCATGTGAAATTCGTATGTCACTGCTAGAATACTATGTTTGATTGTAAAACATCATGTTGCCCCAAAATCAAGGTTGGAGTGAGAGATGTCACACAGTGAAGTATACAAAGTGCTAAAATCTTAAATATCCTGGATTCTGGAACATACAGCCATCAGGATTTTAAGTGAGGACCTGCCTCTATTCATGTAGTCATTACTGCAACCCTGTAAGGTAGGCAGACATTATTGCTAGGGACTGTTTTCCTCAAATAGGGAAACCAAAGCACAGGTGTAAATAGTCAGTAGCAGAGCTGGGATTCATACCAGTCCATCTGGCTCCCACAGACTATACTCCCCTCAACTCCCCATTACCCCATCTCTGGGGCATGTCTTCTCAAGAAGAGTTCCAACCTGTTACCAGAGAGAAGTTCTACCCTTAAGAAACTGAAAATGGTTAAGGGGCAAGTGAAATAAGAGAAGTCAACTAGGAGGAGACTGAAGGAGGGAGCATTACTCCTGGGACATGCCTTGGAAGCAGCCTGTCCTCCAGAAACCTCTTGGAGTGGCCTGGAGTCAGGGGTCTGGCTTAAGTCCCAGGTCTGCCACTTGCTTATAGAGAGAGGCCAAGGAACTTTGGGCAAGTCATGAAATGTTTCTGAATCTCTTCCCTCTCCTGAAAATGTAAACTTTGCAAACTATAGAGCGCTGTGCATATGAAGGCCAGAGAATAATAAATTCAAAATCTGGTTCTGAAAAAGTTCCAAAATATAAATAACCCCCTGCCATAGCTAACAAAAGAAAGAAAAGCCAAAATTGACAGGAGAAAAAAGACAATCAGAGATTTTTTTTAAAGCATAATGATGTCATAACAAATTTGAAAAGCTAGAGAAAATGGATAAAAAGCTGGCAGAACATGAATTATCAGAAGAAATTGTAGAAAATAGGCCAATTTCCACCTAAGCAATTAGGAAGCTGATTCACTGTCTAGACTGAGAAGAGCCTGTTATGAACAGCCCAGTATTCAGCAGCCTTTAGAAATCACACATTTCCAGAGCTCTTTTTTTAAAAAATATTTTATTTATTTATTGTTAGACAGAGGGGGAGAGAGAGAGGGAGAGAAACATCAATGTGTGGTAGCCTCTCACATGCCCCTTACTAGGGCCTGGCCTGCAACCCAGGCTGTGCTCTCACTGGGAATCAAACCTGCAACACTTTGGTTTGCAGGCCGGTGCTCAGTCCAGAGCTCTTTAAGGCTTATTGGCCACAGCTCATTCTGTGGAAACGGCACAGCCTCAGTGCTGAAACTACACAGGTAGGCTCCAAAAGAACTGAAGACCACTCCAAGTTACAAATGACTACTATGTCATAACCAAGACACCATTTATTCCAAATATCTCAGTATCAGAAAAACTATCAGGATAATTCACTACACCAATAAGGAAAAACATCTTTTGATTGTATCAAATGAAACTAAAAGGAAATTTAGTAACATTTAGTAGCCACAGTGAATAAAAATTAAAATAATAATGGAAGGGAATTACTTCCATATAGTAAAGCCAGGAAATGGCATTCAAAAATAGCAGTCCAGAGGCCATTTCTATTAAAATCAGAAAGAAGAATGCTTAATGAACAAAATAAACTAACAAAATAGAAACAGATTCATAGAGTACAGGCTGACGACTGTCAGACTGGAAGGCAATTGGGGGCTGGGTGAAAAAAGTACATGGATTAAGCAAAGAAAATAAACCTCATAGACATAGACAACAGTATGGTGATCATCAAAGGGAAAGGGGGGATGAAGTGAGGTAGAAGAAGGTAAAGGGGGATAAATGGTGATGGAAGGAGACCTGACTTTGGGTGGTGAATACACAACACAATATACTGATGATGTATTATGGAATTGTACGTCTGAAACCTATATAATTTTATTAACTAATGTCACTCCAATAAATTCCATAAACATTTTTAAAAAAGAAAAAAGAATGCTGATAGCACCATGGTTATTCAACATTGTTCTAGATGTGATAGACAAGAAAATAAAATAATAAACATGTAAAAAAAAAAAGGAGAGAGGACTAGGACTATATTTTGGTAATGATGTGATGGTGGACCTAGAAAACCTAAGAGACTAATTTTTAAAAAAATCTATTAGACTTAATAAGTTAACAAGGTGTCAATAATACATGCCTCAAAAACACCATTAGCTTTTCTCCATGCTAACAAAATATAATACCCATGTAAAGAATGTAAATATCTCATTAATAATTTTATATTACTTTAATGTTGAAATATTTTAGCTAATATATTAATGTTTAGCTGAAATATTTAATGTTGAAATATCTGATATATTAGGTAAGATAAAATTATATTATTAACATCAACTCCTGTTTCTTTTTACTTTTATTACTGTGGCTGCTTTTAAAAATTTAAAATTGTGTTCATAGCATGCTGATTTGTAGCTATTGGATGCTGCTGGTTTTGAGACAGACAGGGAAATTACCTTCCAAAACATTTAATGTGCCCTTGAGGAGCCCACTTGGTCACCCCCATCCCCAATGGCAGTCAGCTCTCCTCCTTAGTCACTCTGCTGTCTACACTGATCTCTGAAGGGCCTATTGTCTAGTATACCCCTTCCCAGCCCCCTCCTCACCTGCTCCTGCAGCTGGAATGCCACCCTCCCACTTTAGTCTGGATAACTCACTGTCACCTTAAATATCCACCCTCCAAGACACTGTCCTCCTCTGAAAATGGGGTAATGACAGTGCTTACCTTTCACGAGACATGACATCACAAAGTGGAGTTCTGAACCTGAGCCAGATTGATGAATGCAAGCAACTATTGGCATTGGCAAAACTAAAGAAGGACCAGGGGGCTGGTGAATGAGGAGGAATGCAGGAAGGGACCCAGTGCCAGCAGCCAGACCATGGGGCACGGGGACTTTCTTTTCAGGCATTAAGAGATGACTGAGTGTTTATAAAGGGATCGGCATGGCATGAATTCCATTTTAGAAAAAAATCACGTTGGCCCACTGTGGAGTTGCAACTGGAGAGCAAAGACAGCCTGGTCTCTACTAGGGAGGCATTTGGCCGCAGGTCTGGGCTAAAGTGACAGTGACCTGGGACACTGCATCATGAGGGCCCTAGAGCCCTGGGAACTCGAGAAACTAGTCAGGGCAGGAAGGGAGTCAGGAGCAGCCTCTGAAGCAGAGGCTGGGGAATAACAGCATTTGAGGGAAGAGCAGAGGAAATGATAGTTCCTGAGACCAAAGGCAGCCAGAGCCAGGAGGGAGTATATTGGGTAGGAAAGGCAAGAGGGAATATGGGGATTGGTGGAAGACCATAACAATGTGCCCTAAGCATCAAGTATTCACTTCATGCAGATGCCCTCATGCTCTCCTATTCACTTTCCATAATATCTCTGTGAGTAAATACTGTCCCCTTATTCCAGATGGTGACATCACAGCTCAGAAAGACTCAGTAAATCGTCCATGGTCCCAAGGGAGTAAGTGATGTATCTGGAATGAGAAACACAAACCTGAGCCATCTGTGCCCCCCTCCATTATCCTCTAATGATTCAAAAGTCACTATTTAAGAAATATGGATTGTTCTGGAATTTCTGGAGAGGTCAGGCTCTCTTGTAGCTATAGTCTGCAGTGAGAGATTGCAGTGTATTTTCTTCTATATATCAGCTCAACCAAGTCCCAGGAGATGAAAACCCCATTTTTCTTCCTTCGGATGCAAAATATGACTGGCTTCTGGCCAAAATCTGGGTGCGCTCCAGTGACTTCCACGTCCACCAGACTATCACCCACCTTCTGCGCACACATCTGGTGTCTGAAGTTTTCGGCATCGCCATGTACCGCCAGCTGCCTGCTGTGCACCCCATTTTTAAGGTATAATAAGTTGGGGAGATTATCTGGGTAGGGAGGGGACAGGGTGGATGGGGAGGAGCCATGACCATCTCATAGGGCTATGGCTGGAAGTGGCCAGCAGACAGGCCTCCTGGAGAGATGTTCCAAGACAGTAATGCCTGCTGACAGCCCACTGGTTCCTGAGGATACAGTGCCTGGGCCTGACACCCTGGTGGCACGAGGCAGGAGGACAGAATTTGAACAGGCAGGTGAGTTCAGCATGACACTGGTCAGAGTGAAGGTGGCAACCCTATCACTGCCCTTCCCTCTTCCTGAATCCTATCAGCCATGACTGTTGGGGTGACTGTGGACCAAAAATATTTCCATGTGTCTCAGCTTTCCCATCTGTAATACAAAGATCAAACAGTACACCTGCCTCATAGGATTATTGTCAGTACACCTGCCTCATAGAATTATTGTCAGGATTAAAACAGTTAACAAATTTAGAGAGTTTAAAACCTGGTAATAGATGCACTCTGTACAAATGCTGACTGTTGTCATTTTTATCATTATCACTATCACTAAGCCTCAAAGCTTCACACCAGGCCTGCAACTACTGAGCAGTGAAGACCTTCATGCCAACCTGCATTTCCTCTCTGAGGCCTAGCTTCATCCTCCACAGTGGAGTTGCTGAGGGTCCCTGGGGGCCCCAGGGAGACACAGGCACAGGTCTGGACTTCTCTGACATTTTCTCTGGCTCTTCCACCCAGCTCCTGGTGGCACATGTGAGATTCACCATCGCTATCAACACCAAGGCTCGAGAGCAACTCATCTGCGAGTATGGCCTCTTTGACAAGGTGGGCACCTCCCACCACACTCCATGCAGGGCAGACCCCAGCCTGGTGGGTACCCACTTCTCAAAACCTACATCTGACCTCAGTTCCAGATTTCCCTCCGGGAGACCAGGCCCTGAGACACCATGCAGTGGGGATCTGGGGAGTGTAGATGGTGGAGGCTGGAGGCAAGCAGACTGAAGGCTTCCCAGGTTCTGTGGCCAGTCTCTGACACCTTCCACCTGGCTACTGGGCAGTTCTCTTCTTCTAAGTGCATTCCCTACAGCTCATCACCAGCTCTTCCTCCTCAGAGTTTTTCCGTCACCTCTTCCAACCATCCCCTCTTCCATCTTCTGGCACATGGGTGCAGACCCTGCCTCCTGACACCCACTCCTCACCTTTTATGCATTAGGGACCTGTGCCTCCCCCACACCATCCTGCTGCCCATCACTCTGTACACAGCCTCCCACCCTCTGCCTTTTCAGGTCATCAGTGCTCCCAACCCATTCTCCTTGTCAGCAGGGCCTGGGTCCCTACTCTTTCCTTACATTCTCCCAGGTAGTACCCCATCCTGGTTTGACTCCCAGGTAGCCTTACCAAACCTGGATTCACCCCTCTCCCCACCTCAACCCCTGCAGGCTTCACCCTGACCTCCCTCCTTCCTAGCTTCCATTAGTGAGCAGCCAGGTGGTCACTAAGGTTGAACCACTGTTTGAGTTGCAAATGGCAAAACCCAATTCAAACCAGCTGAAGCTGGACAAGAGATATACTACCTCATATGCCTGAACATATAGGGGTGAGGAAGCTTCAGATGAAAATGGATCCAGGGATTTGGTATCCCCGGGATCCAAGCACACTGGCTTCCTCTCTCTAAACTGTATTTGCCTCATGCCCCAGAAGGACATTCCCCCATGGGAGCTCCAGGCTCATTTTTCCAAGCAGTGACCATAGTCTTCCTTCCCAGTACATAGCACTGGGAACTCCAATTAGTTCCACTTGGGTCAAACAACCCTTGGGGACACATGTCTGGCACCCCAGCACCCAAGTCCTCCTTGAAAGATTCTGTAGCCTGAATACTCAGCCCCCATGTGCCTTGTGTATACCTGGGAGCAGGTGTGTCTGTATCTCAGCCACAGGGAGGAGGACCAGGATCATTTCCTTGTGCCTCTCTCCATCCCCCACATAAGCACACCACAAGCCCTTAACAGAGTTGTGCAGGTCCTGGGGTCTGGTTTCTGCTTTCATCCAAAGGTTGGTCATTGAAAGCAGTTTTTGGACTTGGGCAGCCCATGTTCAGAACTCAGAATGAGAGCAGTCACAAGGCTGCAGCAGGCCAGGTCCCCACTCTGCCAACTGTCCCCCTGCCCCTCCTCAGGGTAGGAGTTCGCCCTTTCCTCTGCAGCTGTCCCTGGTCTCTGCACATACCCAGCCACCTCAACCCCTTGCATTAGGTCAAGCAGAGGCTCCTCCCTGTGGCCTTTTCATTAGGCTGCCCTGGTGTTCTCTCAAGATAAAAATCCTCCTACCCAACCTCACAGGATCTGGCTTTGGTCCTCTGTGTGCCTGGCCACTACACTGCTGATTAGTTTTTCTACTGGGAGCTCTGGGACCAGACACTGGAGAGGGAAACCAGCCTCAGCTTACATCATTCTCTCTTCCCTCCCCTTCAAGGCCAATGCCACAGGGGGTGGTGGTCATGTGCAGATGGTGCAGAGGGCCATGGAGGACCTGACATATACCTCCCTGTGCTTCCCGGAGGCCATCAAGGCCCGGGGCATGGAGAGCACTGAGAACATTCCCTACTACTTCTACCGGGACGACGGGCTCCTGGTGTGGGAGGCCATCAAGACGTGAGTACATGCTGGATATGGGACCTACTGTGTGGCCAGAGTGGGGGCCTTTGAGGAGTGAATATGAGCATGGCTCATGGCTCCTGGACCTAGCCAGGAGCCTCCATGACTGACTCAGTGAGCCAGGTGCTTGGCTTTGTTATCAGGGCACTGAAGGAGGAAGTGGGGTGAGTGGGAGTAGGGTGACCTTAATAACCTGGACATTCAGGAAATATGTGACAGGGTCACTGATGGGGCCCTGCCTGGGGGCACAGCTCTGCAGACTGTATTGCCCACTGCTTGTTGGGCCCCTTCTCCTGAGCTAGGTTTGTAGCTGATGTGGTTGGCATCTACTATGAGAGTGACCAGGTGGTGGTGGAGGACCAGGAGTTGCAGGACTTCGTGAAGGATGTTTATGTGTATGGCATGCGGGGCAAGAAGGCTTCAGGTAGGAACCACTCCCAGCTCTCCTCTAGCCCTCTCTGCTGTTCTTCCCTGCACCTCTGAATTTCCTTGGGCAACAATGGCCTATAGTAGGCAACTTAGCACCTGGTGCTGGGGCCAGAGTCCCCAAGGGACCCCTGACCACCAGTAGGCCTCATGGGGACATTTCTGGGCTTTCTGTGACCCTCATAGCCTGGGTCAGAAATATCAAGAGACTAAGCCAAGCTGCTGATCCCTCCCAGTGTGTCTGTGTCTTGCCCATGCCCATCCCTCCAGCACTGGTGTAGGGGACTCCAAGGGAGGATGCAGGTAGAAGTGGCACTCTGCTGGTCAGCTATCTCTCCTGGAAGGTGGGGCCTTACCCAGATCCTTGCTCTGCCTTAGGCTTCCCCAAGTCCATCAAGACCAGGGAGAAGCTATCTGAGTACCTCACCGTGGTGATCTTCACAGCCTCAGCCCAGCATGCAGCAGTGAACTTTGGCCAGGTGGGCAAGGGCAGGGCAGCCATCTGGGTGGGAAACCACCAAGATCATCTTGACCATGACTACTACTGACCCACAGGGTGAGGTGCCCCTCTTAGTTTTCCAGCCAGCCAGTTAGGTAGAGGAAGCCAGGTGGAAAACAGGCAGCCTCAGGGCCCAGATCAGGTGTTCCTACTGAGGATTCTGCCCACTTGGTGGAGGACCCTGGCTGATCACAGTGAGGGGCCTGGTGGACGGGGAGGGGTGCACAAGTGGGAAGCGGGAAACAGGCAGGCAGTGGCTGGATTGTGTGTCTGTGGCTCTCCCTGCAGTACGACTGGTGTTCCTGGATTCCCAATGCCCCTCCAACCATGCGGGCCCCACCACCCACAGCAAAGGGTGTAGTCACCATCGAGCAGATCGTGGACACACTGCCAGACCGAGGCCGCTCCTGCTGGCATCTGGGTGCAGTGTGGGCATTGAGCCAGTTCCAGGAGAATGAGGTGAGGCCACTCTGCCTCTTCTGGCAGGCAGGTTGTCCAGGTTTAACCCACTTCTCAATCTCAGGGTTTTGTGACTCAGGACTCAGGCTAGATACCCATTCTCCAGGAATCCTGAGTTCTGAGGGTGAAGTAGCCACAAGGTCCTCAGGCCTGAAGCTGAAGTGAGTTCAGGATGGCTGGGGCAAGAGAGCAAAGGGGACCCTACTCCACTGGTGACACTCCCCACAAAGGCATCCCCCCACGCCCAGCTGTTGATGAAGCTCTCTTCTGTGGGTTTTTCTTTGGCACCCCAGAGGTAACAACTAAGAGTTTCCTGGATATCCTTCCAGACATTTCCATACACCTTATATAGGCTAATCCCAAAGCTGGGTGTCTCAGTAGATACAACGCTATGGCATCAGTTCAGTGCTACATAGAATGATTATACCAGGCCCAGACTCATGGGCATTTAAGTTACTTAGGGCACTTGCTAATGTGTTGGTCCCTCACTAATATCTATGGATATGTTTCTTTGCACACGTTTAATAAGACCAGAGGATGCACTCCAAGTAGGGGAATTTCTAGGTCAAAGAATGTTGAGACTGAACTGTCTTCCATAAAGTAAATCCCAAATACCATCAATAGCATATGATGAGTCTCCCACCCTTTCCAGCCCTGTATATGAAACTTTCCAATTTTAACAATCCAATAGTTTTTTTTTAATATGGCTAGTTTTAATTTGCAGACATCTGTGTAAGTGTGCAAATGAGCACACTACCTCAAAGGGGTGAGAGGCCAGCGCTGGCCCCTCTGCCCATTGCCTGGGGCCAACAACAGCCTCCATATTTACCTGCACCATTACATGTCCTTATAGCCACCCTGGAGCAGAAAAGTGCAGTTGTTTCTCCCACTCATCTATAATCCCCCTATCTCCACCCTGGAGGCTTCCTTAGGGAAAGCCAAGTTGGAGATGGTATTTTCATTCTTAGAGCATTCTCAGAAGGCAGCAGAGGATGACTCCCCAGGGCTCATCTCTATGGGTAGGATAAGGTCTGTCAATTAACATTGCTGCATTGTAGAGTAACCTGTCTGTCTGTCCGTCTGGGTCCTCAGCTATTCCTGGGCATGTACCCAGAGGAGCATTTCATTGAAAAACCTGTAAAGGAAGCCATGGCCCAATTCCGCAAGAACCTCGACACCATCGTCAGCATGATTGCTGAGCGCAACAAGAATAAGAAGCTGCCATATTACTACTTGTCTCCAGACCGGATTCCCAACAGCGTGGCCATATGAGTGGCTGCCTGAGCCAGTCTCACCCCAGGATGGCCACCTAGGTTCCAGCCTATCCAGGTGGGGAGGCTCACAAGGCAGTCCTGGGGCAGGCCTTCTGGCCTTTCTCTTCTGGAATTCTGCCCTCAGGCCCCAGGCTGACTGGCTTCAAACCAAAGGCTGCCCCAGGATGGGCCACATTATAGCTAAGCTTCAGTGCATCTTCCTTTTTTATTCTTCATTCTTGAGTGAACCCCATACTTGGATCCAAGTGTGAAAACACTGCTGGGCCCCTCCTACAAAGAATGGGATAGTGCAGCTTCCTGCCCTTCACCTAGCTCAGCACTTCCACACCAGCAAATCAGGATAACTGATAGATGTTTCTTCTTGTTGGAGACATAGGATGATTATTTTGTTTTATTTATGCTTAGTTTAATTTCTTGTGCATAGTAAATGCCCAAATAAAGTCCTGTTAAGTGAATTAAGAATTAGTTGTAATAAAAATAAAGTTCATTTAAAACAGATTTCCCTCCACATGCTACATTCCAACCAACTCAAAACAGCTCACATGCCATCCCATACACACAAAAAAACTGTAATCCATTGTGATTCCATCTACACAGAAGCCTCTCCACTACCCCCAGTCTGGATAGCTTCAAGAAGCTCAGCCAAACCCAAACAGAATAAAGTAAACCATATACTTCAAGTCAAACTCCTCCAAACCACAGTTAAAGACAAAATCTTGAAAGTGGTGACACATATAACATATAATGGAATGATTTTAATTACAGATGGACTTTTCATCAGAAACTATAGGAGCCAAAAGACAATGGAACAATGTTTTTAAAGCTTTAAAAGAAAACAATCACCAACACAGGATTCTGTGACCAGCAAAAATATCCTTCAAATGTGAAAACAAAATAAAGAAATTTTGAGGTAAATAAAACTAAGAGAATCTGTTGACACCAGAGCTACACTACAAGAAATGCTAAAGAAAATTCTTCAGGCTGAAGGGAAATGATACTACATGGAAACTCAGATCCTTAGGAAGGATGGGAGAGTATCAGCAATGGTAAAAATTTGCTAAATTAAGAAAGTAATTTAATTAATTCCTCCCTCACTTAACTCCTTTAAAATATATAACTATTTAAAGCAAATATTATAGCCTTCCATGTGGCATTTATAATACATGTAAAGATAGCATAAAAGAAAATGGGTATTAAATGGATATTTTCATTGACATGGTTTCTATATCTTATATCAAATGGCCCATTATTAATTCCAAGTAGTTTGTAAAATTTCAAGTAGATATATTATAATCCCTAGGGCAACCACTAAAAATACTGAATAACTAAAAACCAATAGATGCTATCCTAAAATATGTAAATAATTAAAATAAAGCAGGCAAAGAGGAATAGAGATATAAAAACAGAGGGGACAAACAGAAATCAAATAATGAAATGGCAGACACAGAACCAACTATATCAATAATTACATCAAAAGTTAATGGACTAAAAACTCCCATAAAATGGCAGATATTATTAGAATAGATCTAAAAAATCAATACCCCACTGCAGTTACCAGTTTTCTCCACATTAACCTTGATTCCCATTAACAGGACGGCTCATGTTTAATTGAGCAGCCATTTCACTTTGCTGAAAATGCCATTAGCAAGATCAGCTTCCCTTAGTCCAACTATGAGAACCTACTCCTCCTTTTTCCCTCCTGAATGGATAATATTTGTATCTTGACAATCAAGCTGCAAATATCTGCAGATACCCTGTATGAAGGAGACAGAATCCTGTTTTTACTTAGTTCATCACATGCTTTCCACTGTGGATACAAGATGGAACCTAAAAGGGGTCACCCAAGAGGTTCCTTGCCATCAGCAAATGATGGTTTGTTTTCCCCACTCAAATAATGAAATCTCCATCCAAACAAAGAGATTGCTGTCCGGGGCAGATGTACTGACCACTGTATTTTCTATGTCCCAAGAGGCATTGGAAATACTGAGGAAAAATCACAAGTTTTAAAGCCCAGTTTAAAGGGCTCCTGTTAAAGCATCCTGATGAAGCTCAACTACAGGTAATACCAGGTCTGCAGTGATGCATCATCCATTTCAAGTTAAATTAGCTCCACATATGTGATTTAAACTAATGATACTAGTGCCTTTGTCCATAGTCTCTCCAGGACATAGATTTTTCCCACATCTTAAATAAACTGTTTATCCTGCTAGCTCAAAAATAAGTAAACAAATAAATTAAAGTTAATAACCAGCAAGAGACACACTTTAAATACATAGCAAAGTCAGCAAGTTTGGCAAGCAATCTACAAACTTTGATTTTTAAAAACAGCATTTTAAAAATGTGAAACACATTCTTAGCTCAAGGGCCTTACAAAATCAGGTCATGGCCTGGATTTGACCAGTGGGTTGTGGCTTGACAGCCCCTCATACAAAGAGACTATAAGATTTGTGAATGGCAAATAAGCACATGACAAGACACACATAAAAATGATCAACATTATTAGTCATTAGGGAACTACACATTAAAACCACAGTGAAATACAACTACACATCTACAAGAATGGCTAAAATTCTTGTATTTTATGTTGATGACTGACAATACCAAGTGTTGGCAAGCACATGGATTAACCTTCACACATTGTTGGTGAGGATGTAAAATGGTCCATTTGCTTTGGATAAAAGGTGCTTACTTTCTTATAAAACAAAACACATCCTTACCCTTTCTGAACCAGTATTCCATTCCTAAGTATTTACCCAAGAGAAAACATATGTTCACAAAAATATTCTTAGCAGTTCTACTCATAATAGCAAAAAACTGTAAACTGAAGTATCCAGTAATAAGAAAATAGATGAAGGGATTGATATATTCATACAATGGACTATTAATCAACAATAAAAATGAACAAGGTAACTGACACAATAGCATGGATGAAACTCAAAAGCAAATGTGCTGGCAGAAAGAACTCTTAGACAAAAGCGTATATACTGTATGACTCCATTAAAACCAAGTTCTAGGATAAGCTGAAGTCAAGAAATCAGAACAGCATTTGCTTTGGGAGATATGGGGACAGGGTGGACTGAAAAGGGCCATCAGAATGTTAAGGATTGAGACAATGTTCTGTATTTTGATAGAAGGTGGGGTACATAGATGGTGTATACATTTGTCAAAACTCATCAAATGGTATACTGGAGATTTGTTCATTTTACACCGTAAATTTTACCTAAGAACAAAAAGAACCATAAATAAATATTAAATTCTAGGTAACAATATGCACACTGAAGTGAAGTGTACTTACAGCTGCAATTTACTCTGAAATGCATGAAAAAAATAAGCTGATGGATGAATACAATGATGCATAGATGGAATACGTGCGTATATAAAAAACATGTTAATTATAGAACCTACAATTATTAAAACTTTTATGTTTAAAATTATTCATAAAGAAAAGGAAAAACTCATGAATTGCACTTATTTGTCACTTATATAAAAGCAGAGAGTTAATGTTCTTACATCATAAAAAGCACTCATGATTCAATGTAAAAATACAAAGAAAAATCCAAGACGAAATGGTCAAGGCATATGGAAACTCGCAAAAGCAGAAATGGGCAGTATACAAAATATGCTCAATCTTATTTATCTGAGAAATGCAAAGTAAAATATCAATGAGAAAATGAGGAAATGACATACACTTTAGTTAACAATTTAAAAAATAACACATTGCAATGTAAGGAAAGAGGCTCATATTTTCACAATGGGAAGGTAAGTAAATAATTCTGGAGATAATTTTGGCACCTTAAAATGTCTCTATTCCACTTTTCAACGTCTAGGAATTTATCTTCAGAACTACCTCTCCATCCCAGATAGACACCCAGGTATACAAAGTTAAAGGTCAAGGATGTGGAGTTCTAGGTGGAGTTTCTAATATCAAAAACTAGTAAGCAACCTAAAATATCAACAAGCATTTGGTTAACTAATTTAATTTAGTTAACTTAATTCTGTGTAAGTTGAAAATAAAGTAGACACACAAAAGTATTAAATTGGTTGTTGGGTGCAAAAAGCAACCTGCAAAGTGGTACGTCTTGTGATCTCAATAAGCAACATGCATTTTATATAAAGTTCAGATTTATTAAAACTATGTGATGCCTCCACTGCCAGTGTCTCAGCACACCCCCTGCCTGGGCCCACAGTATGCACTGTACCCCTGCCCTTCCAGCAGGGGCCTGGCATGCTCCCAATGACAGCCTTTCTCTGGGGAAAGGGCTGTGTTTGATTTTCTTCTTTGGTTTCCATCATGTTGATGTATGCCTTCCCTCTCCTCTTAATGTTTAATCAGACATTTCATCTTTTCCAAAGAAAGGTCAGACACCTTTCTCTGGCTGGTCCTACTCTACCAGCCAGAACTTACCAAACAAGGGTGTATGAGTTCATCTCTGGTGGCCCACAGAAAGCCAAAGCCTGAGGCAACAGGTTTTCCCAGAGAAGAAGGGTTTATCAGTCAGGAAGCCAGACAAGGAGACTGGAGATGAAGCTCAAATCAATCTGCTCCATCCAAAGTTTAGAGATAAGTTTTAAGGGGACAGGGGAACACACTGGTGTATGAAAGCAACTTGGTCATTTATGGGAAGATATGGTAAGGGGCTTCTGTAGCAGACCCTCCTGGACAATGGACACTTCGCTTCTAAAAGTGTTCTAGTGTTCAAGTTCCAGTCACGTCCTGGTCCTTCAGTTACATGGGAAGGGGCAAGAGTTTGGTTCCGGGGTTATCGTGAGGAGGAATGGCACATGTGCAGTGCTGTCTCTGTAAAATAACTCAAAAACATCATTAATTACCAATCCTCTGCCAGTGTGCTGTTATCGCTGACACCCCAGGCAGTGAGGAGCAGCGAGTGAGTTCTTGGGCAAAGCTGTGCAGGGCTTACAGCTTCTGAGCTCTCGGTACTCTCTTAGCCGCCTGTGCATCCCAGCCTGCTGTACTTCCAAGCCTCCAGGAAGGACCATTGAGCAGATCTTTAAAAAGGGAAGTGTGAAGATATACCAGCACTGCCTTTACCTCTGAAATTCCCCTGAAGGGGCATGGTGGAATAGTCAGGCTGTTCCACAGAGGACACTATTGCCAATAAAAATCCTGGGAAAGAAACCCAGGATTGGCAGCCCACCTTAGGGCAGCTAGGCCCCAGGCTACGCTGTGTTCCTCCTGAATGCTTCTAGGTGATCCTGCACCAGAGTACCACACATTTCCAGCATTTTGAAAATTTACCTGAAGTTCTTGCCACCAACCCTCTGGGGCACAGGACTCTGGCAAAACAGAAACTGGTTGGTCAGGTAACTGCTTATTCAACCCCATATGGTTCAAAATGAGCCACCCTTAGATGTGCCTATGCAGTGGTATGCAGATTATTTTGAGCTAAAGGCAATTTTAGCTTCAGTCTCAAGAAAAAGTTCTGCCTCTCCCCAGAAGAACTTTAATTATGGACCTTGTATAAGACATAAGCTTTTTGACCTATCTATAGGGCAGGACAAACTTCTCTTTACTAAGCACCTTACCTCATCCCTAGCTCAGAATGTCTCACATACCCATGTTCCCTTTCTGTCTCTCAGCCTCTCCTGCATGTGGGGTCTCTGACTTGTGTAGGTGGGGTTCCCATACATATGTATGTTTTTAGTTATTTTCTTTTGCAAATCTGTCTCATGTCTATTTGATTATTAGAGCAGCAAAAGGAACCTTGAGGGTAGAGGAAAGTTTGTTCCTTCCTCACAGCAGCATTACTCATGGAACACCACATCCTCCCTCGCTTCCTCCAAGTTAAATGGTGGGATAAGCCCAGAGACCCTAACACTGTCCCTCGGGCCTGTGCCTCTGCAGGGCTGTATCAAAGGGTGTGAGAGAACTGAAATTGTTTGCATTTCTTCCCAGATACCATTCAAGGATGGGGGTGGAGGGAGGAGAGCCTTGAGTCAGAGAAGCACTTGGTAATGTGGTGTAACTCAGAGCAATGCCTTCTCTGGGCTTATTTCCTGGCCATACACAGGGTCAAACTAGAGGAGCTGTTCTCATTGTTGGGGAAATGTAAAGGTGAAGCAGGGACTACTTTGAAAATGATACAAGCTATGGGCTTGTATCCTTGTTCCTTGTTCCCTGAGGAGCAGGATGTGGGAACTCACGCAGTCCTCAAGGAACTACACACCACCTGGACAAGGAAAGAGCCCTTAGGCCAGGGTTCCCAGATGACTGGATTTCACAGACCAGAAAAGTTTTGAAAGAAAGTCTGGAGACATTTGGGTTACCAAGTTTTTGTTGGTATGAAGAAACAATCATTAACCAACCACTCCACAAAAAGCACCACCACCAAGAGCTTCCATCTAGCATACTATCTTCTTCATTTCACAACAGATAAACTGAACATCAGAGAAGTAGTATAATAAGGTTAATAATGGACTGCTCCACTCTTTCTTACACACTAACCTATGTTGCCTCTTTTCCCATCTCCCGAGAACCCCTGCAGACTATATTACATCAGTGTGAGACCACAGCCAGGCCAGCTAACCTCAGGAGACTGTCTGGCAGTCTCCTCTAGAGTATGAGGTAACCATCCAGGGGGCCAAAGTGGAGCCCCCCCTAAGGCAGTAGCCCATGTGTAGATCCTTGAACTGTTAAATTGCCACACCCAGAGTATATTGAGCTTGTGCCAGTGGAGCCTGGACTCTGTTCCTCTCATTTCAGCTCCAAGGGGGAGCTATGGAGAAGCAGGGGTAAGTGCAGGCTTCTCTGATGGCTGAGGGTCTAAATCAGGGTGTCAAACTCATTTTCACCGGAGGGCCATATCAGCCTTGCAGCTGCTTTCGAAGGGTGGAAATAACTTTAGGATCATATAAATGTAACTACTCCTTAACTGTTAAGGAGTTGAAATTATATCTGGCCCTTTGAAAGCAATCGTAAGACTGATGTGGCCCCCAGTGAAAATGAGTTTGACATCTCTGGTCTAGGTCCTGCCACCTTAGAGGAACTGTCAGTTCAAGAAGTCATGCTCTTCCTCTCTTCCTTTTATTCTGGAACTATGTCGCTCAGCTGTTTCTAGAACCAGCCATGTAGAGGTACAGCAGGACTCCTGGTCACAATAGAACTTCTCAGGCTAGGGAAATGACAGGCCCTAGAGAGGGGCCGATGGCACCTCTGACAATGGCTGTGACCAACAACTCGATGGGCACCATTCATACAGATCAAGGGCTGACAAAAGTTTTCTATGAAGGACCTGCTAAATAATTTAGGCTTTGCAGGCCAGATGATCTATCCCCACTACTTTACTTGGCCACTATAGCCGGAAGTCAGCTGAATACAATATGAAAATGAATAAGCATGGCTATGTGCCTCTAAGCTTATTTATAAAAACAGGTGGTTGGCCTGCAAGCAGTAGTGTGCCACCACATGACTTAGAAGATTGAAAGCATCCCCTAGAGGTGGTCATGCAGCAGTCCTATAACCCATCACTGTGGCTAGTTTCAAAGGACAGAAAGGCCTACAGGTCTTAAGCCTACCTGCAAGAAGATCCCATTTGGTGTTCTTCCCCAAAGCATAGAGGCCCTTCTCAGGTAGTCGCCCACTTCATATTCTTACAGAAGCTGAGTTCTCTTTCAGCTCCACCTCTTCAACACTCCTCCAACCAGTTGAGCACAAGCTCAAGGAATGTCCTGGCTTCCCTCTGTTCTATAAGCACATAACCTTAGCTGCTAAGCAGGTAAGGCTTAGCAGGTACAGCAGTTCTGCTGGCTCTGCAGTGGGCCCATGCTCCTCTAGAAGCCTCAACAGCTCCACCCAGTTCTGGGGACCTCTTCTCTGCAGAAGGGGAGGAAGACATTTGGCAAAGTACCCTACTCAGTTTCTGCATCTTCTAGAAGCCTACTGTGTTACCCTTAACTAGTGGATGAATTCTCCTGGCTCACCTAGGATACAGTATGTCCAGGACAGCCCTGGTCTCCTTTCTTTCACCTCATGTACAAAAGTAAAGCTGTATGAGTGAAGGTTTGCAGTCTTTGACTAGAGGATCCGTGGCACTGCCATTGGTCAGGGAAGCCCTGTCAGCAGCCAAGAGAGGCAGCCAGCCAGGCTAAGCTATAGCCAACAGTCCTGCTGGACCTTCACGCCTGGTTCTCTCACTCAGCAGGGCTGTGGTTTAGTAAATGTTTTAACAGATAAGGCTAGTTAAGCAAACCAACTGCTCCAACAGTCATGTTGCCATACACACCTTGATCTTGAGCCTGGCTTCTCTTGAGGCGGTAAATTCACATATAGCCCACATATTTCCAACAAGCACACCTGTGTTCACTGCTTCAGTTTTCACTCTCATGCCCGCACACCCTCCAGAACCCATTCCCACCCCACTCATCATTAGTATCAAGGAAGCTGTCCTCCCTCAAAGGGCAGGTGAGGAAAATGGATACCTCCAGAGAGTATATGATTTTCCTCCCTGATGTGAAAGCCAGAGGAGCCGAGAGAGGTTCCCAGCCTCCTTGCAGGAAAACACCTTCATAGAAAAACTTCTTTGTAAAGAAGTGCTTTATTGCTGTATTTAGACACTCCATGTATAGCACAAATGAGCCCGTGTACAGAATATTATTCAAGTGGTGATACTGAGAAACAGTGAACACACAGAAAATACAAAAGTAGACATCTAAATAACTAGAAATCCCCTAAGTGCCTTTTAGAAACTACCCCATACATGCCAGTGTAAATTTGTTTTTTATTAACAACGAATTTTCTAGAAATATTGCATCTAAATAGGTGATGAGTTGTTTATGTCTTTCCTAGGCTAGAGATGGAAGCTGCATATTTCAAATCAGATCCAAAAAGGTTAAGTATTTCAAAAGTGTATTTGCATCAGGTCAAAATGTTCCCAGTTCTCCTCCAGCCCTACAGCTGACCCCCAGGCAACAGAAGCAGCTCAACTAGTTCAGGCATTACCTGAGGATCGGGAACTGGCCCAACTGCCTGGGGTCCATATATCTGTACTCAGGTAGGGCACGCCTGAGGTTTTAAAACTAGACGCGTAAGATTGAAAAAAGTGAAGCAAAAAAGCAGCAGGGGGGTGGTGCAGGGGGACACGTGTTAGAGTCCTGGAGTAGGAAGTGACCTTTTACAGATTTTCAGGAAATTCTTAAACTTGGGCACAAAAAACAAATTACTGCTGGCAGCCAAAGAAGTCAGAAGCCCTTGAGTTGCACTGTAACTTCTTGGGGAATAAAGGTAAGGTCAGAGAGGGCTGGCTGGTGACACCCCTATGGGCTACTGCCATCTCTCCATTACCTGGCCCACAAGTACCAGCCCTACTGGCCCTGACACCTGAAGGCTCATCCCACATTTCCACATGGTTCAGTCAAATGCCATCGTCCCACCAGAGCGAGGTGCAGAATGAAAGGAATCTGGGGATTAACCCCCAAAAGCATTTAGAGGGCAAATGACAGACTCAAGGGAATACCAGGCAGATCCCCTGCCCCCACTAGATGGCAGCACAGCACAATCTTGCAAATGCTTCATGCCTCACTGTCAGTTCCGGGGGGGTGGAATATTAGACCTGGGACTAAGAATGGGGTCAAAGGTGCTCAACTAGAATCTGCCAAGGAAAGAGAAAGGCAAGGGAGCATCTGTGTGTCTTTCCAGGAAAGAAAAGAAGGACCTGGGCCAGACCTCCACAGGCAGAGAAGTTTTTGGAACTTGGTAGGAGGTGGTGAGATGGAGAGAGGGCTTCATAAAAATCTGGTTGGGCTTGGGAGCAACACAACATGGGTACAAAAGCACTTTTGCCATAGGGGACACCAGCTGTAAAGGGTGGGCTGCCCAGGGGCTAGTTCTACAAAAGCACACTTACCTCTCCATGGGAAGTCTCAGTACTTTTCAAACTCAGCACAAGGGATTCTATCAGGGTAAAGGAAAAGATTCCTGCTTAAAAATCTACCTGTCTTCACATGACTCATCACTTGCCGTTAAAAAGTGGCAGACGCAGGACCTTCCTTAGGCCATTTTGAAGGGGCAGAATCAGAGATGAGCAGGATCCAGCAACCCTGAGTAAGCAGTCTGCCTGGTGTCTCCAAGCCGAGAAGGGAGGTGGGTAATTGCACTTTGAGGCACAGTGAACACACAGGCATGGGCTGGATGTGGCTGGGGGACAGCAAGAAGGTAAACTGATCAATTTTCAGGGGCTGGTGTGATGCCCAGCCAGAGAAGGATGATGGCAGTGCAGCTCTCTAGATCAGAGTCCATAATCCTGAAGAGTCAGATGCTGGATGGGAAGAGGTGGCAGAGCACAGTCAGCTACCACATACACTCCCCGAGAGCTCAGGCACCCTTTAGCTTCCTTCTGGTTTCTAAAAGAAGCCACAGGGCTTCCCCTTGGGAAAGCAAAGGACTCATCTTGTGTTTGCTTCATCCTCTAAACACAACAGATGAGGCATCTAAGGCTCAGAGGACTAAAGGCAGGACTCCCAGGCACATGCATAGACACCTGGAAAGCCAGCACCTGGGATATCCGTGTTACATGGCAGATCCTCCTGACCTAGTTTCCTGGAGTTCACTCATTTCCCTGGAGCAATGAAACTAGTTTTTAAAAACAGAATTTTAAGTAGACTTTTTGGTAGTGATTTTGGTTTTGTTTGTTTTATGAAAAATGGTATGGGAGATAATCCCTGATGACAGAATAGACTGATCGCAAGGCCAGGGGCTCCTAAAAGATCACCTCTGTTCAGTCCAATTAAGGCGACAAATGGTTGGGAGTGTGGCTAAGGGCAGTAACATAGTTGACCCTGGCTCATTCTTGGCCTTTGTTCCAGAGCCAGCCTGCCTGCCTCTCTCGGGTGTCTGTCTGTCTTCTCGGGTACAGAAGCTAGCTAAGATGGCAGGAGCCAAGGAGCACCTACAGTGGACACACCCTAGACTGGGTTGGTGCATGCTTACTCTTTTAGTGTGAGGCCAGTACAGACTAGAGAGGTTCGTCTATAAGGGAATGATTTCTAAATACTCAGTTTTGTTTTAATTACTCACTTCTTTTCCTTTCATTTAGAGCTCATACACTCTTCCTTTTCAGTGTTGACCAAAAAAATATTTTCAAATGTTTGGGGCAGGCTCTTTTATAGACTTGTCATAAAACAAGCTTGAAACCATAGGAATGAGGCTCAAATTGCCATTTAGAATCCATTAATTCCCACGAGATGTTATAAGAAAGTGTCCGACCTGTTTGTGTGGCATTATAGTCACAAGTCTTTAATGGACACAAGACTAGATGTCACACTTCTCAAAAGACAAAAGGCAACAGGGTTTTAGATCTTTTATAACATAAAAGAGATAATCAGGGTCATGAAGAGAAGGTCTCTATCTATATGAGACACTCTTTTAAGTTTCAATCTTACTGGATACACACAATATAGATTCTTTTCTTGTAAAGTGCTGTTTGCTTAGTGAAATCACTTGCCACCATGCACAGAGCACCATGGTCCACCTGCTGAGAACTGACAGTGGCAGCAATGGAAGAGGGAGCTTGCCTCCCTGGGCTCTCCTTAGTGAGGAGGGAAATCCTTGCACCATGACTAGACTTTCCCAAACACTTTGCTCCAGGGTGGGGTCTGCTGACAATTGAAAGAGTTGTACATCAGGGCCTGAGTGCCACCCTGCTCCTGTTCTTCCCTCAGGTGTGACATTTTATCCCTCCTTATGCTCGAGACATCATGTGCCAGCTCCCTGTCATGATGTCATGAGTCTTCCACATTCCCTTCCCATAGATGTGCAGGTAGAAGTGGAACCTAGACATGTCCAGCCGATGTAAGAGCTTTCCAAGATATTCCATGAAGAGGGTTTAGAAAAAGAGAAATCATTAAATAGTCACCTGTCCAATCTGTGCTATTAAAGCATGTAAGAAAAGGTATACAATTGGCAGTAAACAATTTCTGTGAACTGTTCATGGATGTCCAGGAAAACTATACCCTCCACACAATCAGATGTGAACGATTTCTGGTCCACTGCCTTCAGGTTCTGTGCAACAAGAAGAGTTTGTGTCGGAATGACAGATTCCACGTTCATCTTTATTTTCAAAGTTGGGCTCTGTGAGTGTAGTTTTTTCAAAAATATTCTTTTTGCTTGTTTCTGGACAGTTTTGAACATAGATGACTCTGTTATAAGCCTTGAGTTTCTTCCACAATTGCACATACACTTTGCACTGAACGTACATAAAAAGAAGTCCGCCAGTAAAGCCAATGGCCACCACCACCAATTTAGTCCAAAAGGGCCACTCTAAGATTCCTGGAAGGAAAACACCTGGTTAGCCTAACAGATGACCTTATTTAAGATCTTAAGTAAATAAAACACAACTCATGAACTTCCCATAACCCATGGATTCTTAACTCATCAAAGCCTATCTCATTGAAGGAGGGGTGGGAGAGGGTGTTCACTCCCTTATATCCTGCTCTTCCAGGAAGCAGTTCATGGAGATTCTCTCTCTCTCCATGATTTGATCTCTTCTGACTGGGTTTTCAAAACTACTCACAACAAAAGAAACATCCAAGTAGGATGGCTGGTTGCCTCACAGTTGGTAGCCCCTTCCAGAAACCCAGACATTTGAGGTCTGACTTGAAAATCAATAGAGAGTAACACTCCAATCCTGAGACCCCAGTGTGTCACTCAGGACCTCTGTGCTGAGCTCCCCTTTAGTTCTGAGCACATACCTGTTGCCTGTCCCTGCTTGATTTCCTCAGCAGTGCGGTCAATGAGCACATACAAGGACCAGACCACACAGGTGATGGCGATGACATGGAATGTCACTGAGCACATGATCTTCCTGCGCTCGCTGGCTGTCATCTGCAACTTCTCCCACTGCAACGACAGCATGCAGGGCATGAAGCTCAGGCTCACAGAGTAAAGGTTACAGTGGGGGTGGGAGCATTGTACAAGGGTAAAATTGGCCTTCCTCCACTCTCCCCTTTCCCAAACTAAATGAATTTCCCCAAATACCCAAAGTTGTTTTCTTTAAACCACTTGGCTTCAACCAGGTTCCAGGTACTGGTATTCTGTCCACAGCCAACTTCCTGTGCAATGAAAAGCAGCTCGGATCTAGGTGAGCTATGAACCACGACCAGCAACTCCCTGCCTGCTTATTCTGACAAGCAGACATCAAATGGCTCAATAAAAAATTCTGTGGTTTCAGTTCTGATGAAAACTGCACATTTTGAGTGTCCCTGGCTTGCTGACTAGCATGGGTGAGGGGAAGACGAGGGTGATGATGCCACAACACACTAGCAGGTGGGTCACACTCCATTGTGAAAGTGATGGTGCAAGGTGTTTACCCTTTGCTCCTCTGCTACTTTGGCAGCAACAGCTTGAAACTGATGCTAAGAGTTCCTGGTACAAGCAGTCTCTGCCAGTCCCATTTCCTCTAGGAACTCATGAATTTACTCCAAATAGCCGTATTTTCTTTTTCACTTGTCAGTTTCCAAATAAGAAGAAAATATATAAAGGCATAGAAAAAGGATAAAGTGTAAATACTGTATATCCTCTGCCAGCCCTAGTCACAGCCTCTTTCCAGATGGTTCTACAGGGGAGAAGCTGAAAGCAAAGCCTCATGGATTACCTAGGTTGGCCATAAGACTCACTTGAGAGACCAGCACAGAGAAGGTGCCCAGTAAATCAGAAGTGCCATAAAGACTCCACTTTTTAAGTAGTTTATGCTTGACTTCTCTGAAGTCCACAATGCTTTCTGCTATGGTTTGGTCCATACTCACTTGGCTTCTTTCCTAAAATACTCTCTTGATCCCTGATTTCCTATTATTTCCTAAGACACACTCAGTTCAAACCTCTCATACTCCCCTGAAATGCTCACCCTCACCTTTTTGTTGTATGCTTTTCTCCACAGACAAGTTGACCTCTGTAATCTCCTTTTACTTCACCTCCAAATCCTACGGATCCTTCAAGAACTGCTTCAACACCGGAACACTCTATGATGCTACCAACACTCTACTTTCCAGAACTCTAGCTCACAATGAGTCCTTCCTTTTCTAATGTCTGGTATGTTCTATTGCCATGTAAGTTAGCATTTAATTGGCATTGTCATGTGCTGTTATCTGATGATGTGATTGATTCCCTTTTCAATCTACATATTAAAATTTTGTAAGAACAAGTCTTATATTATTCCAGACAAAACCTTATGTTCTGGATATAGACAGACACATTGAACAAACAATGTTTGCAAGGATGTGAGTGCTGGGACAAGGCTCCTCTCAGAGGAACAGAGACAAGGGCCTGATGAGGGCTACACTGCCTGTAATGCCTTTGATTCCTTTCTTTTCCCACCCATGCCACCCTCCCATCTAAATATTTGTCAGGGAATAGACAGTAAATGTAGTATGTTATGCTTTGCTTTGTGCTGGGGAGAGATACTAATCTCTAATATACAGTTCTAATTACAGACAAGGCATGAAGAGTTAGTACATATAAAGTTAAATGCTGGCTAAAATGTCACAAAACAGGTCAAGGACCAAATGACTGATGCAGACAAGCAAGCAGTTTTACTTTGAAGGAAAAAAGAAAACATTATGGCTAATGGTAACAAAGAGCTTCTTCCTCAGAGGAGGGACTTGTAAATCAGTATCAGAAACAATGATCTCTACCACATGATGTACGCACCATTCCCCACTCTTCAAAGAGGCAAACACAAGCAAGCTAAGGCTTCATCCAGACCCAGGTGCTCACTCTTCAGGGACACACATTTCAGTGAGGTTTAAGCACTGCCCAGGGTAAGTACCCTCACACATACTTTTCTCAAAGGCTTCAGCTTGGTCTCCATAATGAACTCGTACTTGCAGAGCTCGCAGCAGCGTGTGTCAGAGCTCTTGATCCACTGCTGCAGGCAGGTCTGGTGCACAAAGTGCAGGCTCCCTGTGCAGTGGCAGGGGGTGATCAGAGGGCTCACATCATCCCCTTCACAGTGACATATCCTAGGGCAGCACAAAAGCCAATCATTACAAAGAGGGCTACACAACAGAGAAGGTAACACTTCAGTGGAAGGTCAATACCCCCAAAGAAAACATTCAGAAACAAATACCACAAAATTGACTGTAAGTACAAAAACAAACAAACATAAATGAGGACAATTACTACAAATTAAAAATTTCTAGCTTACCACACCAACATGTCAAGTTTGGATGGCATTTGGCATCAGAGAGGAAAAAATAATGTAAGTAATGACAAAACAGTCACTTTTGGTAAGACAAGAATTTCACTGAAAGACAAATTTAAGGCAACATGGAAGTGTCTTCCAGAACTTAGGATGCTAAAATAATTTGAAAGAAAAAACAAAACGTTCTGTGTAAAACAGAATGAGAACTATACCTTCCAAATATACCAGTGATTTTAAAAGATGGTGGAATTTTTTTTTTTAGCACAATCACTGACCTCAGCTCCATAGACCACAACTACACATTCCTGTCAGAGAGAAAACAGAGAAATCACAGTACCTCTTCTGGATCTAAAAAACATTATGAGGTACTGCAATTTCATTTCTTTTTGCAGGACTACTTACAGGAATAAGGGAGAATTTTAAATCATTCATTATATCAAAAGATTCAGGGTACATGCAACAAGATATAGCTACCTAATTTCAAGAAACTAAACAGACTTTTGAAAAACAGAATAGTCTTTCCCAGCAGCAACAGGGCAGCACAGATATCTGGCCTGAAAGAGCTGGGCTCTGGCCCTGGGCAGGATCTCCACTGTTTGTTTCTAATCCAATGGTTAGACATAATAGCTGGCCCTAAGGAGGGGTGACTGGGGAAAGGCTGCAATGGGGAAGGTATAAGAGTGGTGACAAAAAGTGAATTATGAAAGATTTGGAGGCCAGACAAGGATGCTGCACAGGGGGGCAGATAAAGGTAGAAAGTGGAATTAGGATTTGGATAGAGATGGCTACATCCAAGTTAAAAAGAGGGAAGGAAGGACAACCTCTCCCCACACACATCATGTTGTAGGCGGAGCAAGGGGTAAAACTGAGGATGTGAGGGGCAGGCAATCCTTAAGATCTAGACCATCAAACCAAAAATCTTTCTTCCAATTTCTTTATGCAAAGTGTACTTATTTTTAGTTGAGAAGAATCAGATTGACCTTTAATATGTATAGCTTCTTCCTCTTTTATCATCTGTGAAATTGCCTTGGGACCCATGTCATAGAAATTGATTTTTCAAATGATTATCAATACTCTATTCTTCTAGAGAAAACTATTAACCCACAATTGTCTAAGCTGCCTACTGGTTCATTTTCCTGAAACTTCACATATTAAAGCAAGATGAGGTTACACAGGTGTGGGGAGCAGAGATGGACAGAATGGTGGTTCCTGACAAACCAACCTGCAGGCATCCCCTGACGTGGACACAGGAGAGATGGGGGGACATTGTTCAGAGAGGGGAGAACAATAATCCAGGTCACTGTCCTTCTCCACTTAGCAGAGGGGTGCCCACAGGACCTTATGCTTCAATTTTGTGGATGTGTTGTCTTCAAAGACGTCATCATCTCCCATTTCATCAGAGCAGAAGCCTGTGCTCCCTGCCAGCCTGCTGGAGGACTTGGCAGAGTGCAGGTGAGCTGCATGGCTCTCCAGCTCATGGAACCTGTGCAGGCTGTTGACACTCAAGCCATGCAAGAGGGAGAACAGGTTCCTAAACAGTCTCTGGCTTCTGGAAACAGCCTCACCATCAGCTTTCTCTTCCAAAAGAGGGACCTGCATGCCCTCCTTGCCACCTCCCACCTCTGAGGCAGTTGAATTATTGGCAAATAGGGATGAAACACAAAATTGTTTGGAATGGCCAAGAGGTTTGCAATTCAGAGTTCTTTTTTCTTTATGATGGAACCTGTCAATTCTGAGATATGGATCTTGAGAGAGTATCAGTTTCCCTTCAGAGCAAGTTCTTTCCGCATAGTCAAAATTTTCCAGAGGGTCCTGGGCCTTCTCCCCCACATCACTTAAGGATTTTGAGAACTTGAGTGTTCTTCTGGCTTTGGTATTCTGATCAGGCTTCCAGGCCTGGGTCCATTCTGAACCACCGGAATTTCTCTTTGATGCCTGTAATGTGTCTTTACAGATAACTGTCACAGTGAGCCCTTGTGTCAGAGAACTCTGGCACTGAGGAGCTTTCAAGACAACAGCAGACTGCATGGGACTGTGGTGACAACACTCAGAAAACACTGCACTGGAACTGCATGCAGAGAACAGTGGAATAAAAACACAGAAAGTGAAAACAATTTTTAAAGAGAACAGACATAAACGTGAAGAAATGAGAGTCATCTGGTAACTTGGTGAGCAAACAGCACATAAATCTGGGTCTACTGTTCAGAGCAAAAACATATTGACCACACAAATGAAAAATCAGTAACCTAAGATACTAATGCTTACTTCTGGGATGAAATGAACAAGTGTAGCATCTGAAGCAAGTGTTACCTGCAGATATCCTGATTGGAAGGTGTGACAGAAGTGCGAGAGAAGGCAGACACTGGAGCCGACACCAACGGAGGACTCCCAGCCTGTAACAACACACCACCTGTCAGTTTTCAGGAAAGAATCAAGTGTACTGTGAATACCATCTCCTTCTGAAGGGGAACAGAGAGAGAATCTAAGGATGTCTACTATTTCCACTGCTCAATGAGTAACATGTACTAAGTCCCTACAAGCTGAGACAAAACAAATCAAATGGCACCCTTCTTTTTATATGTGGGTGAAAGTGAGGCGAAGAAATATTTGAGACTCTAAAACAGCACCATTCATTTGCAGATTCAGTGGTCATTTATTTCCTAGGCATTGAATTTAATTAGTTTGTACATAGGTCATAAAACGAAGTACTACAAGGTATATGGAAAAAGCAAAAAACTGCATGGTACATCACTGCTGGCACTTGCTTCCCTGCTAGCAAGTTTCTGGGATAATCCTAATAAAAGGTGGCAGTATGTGAGCACTCTCTCCTACTTATAACGTCATGGTTGGGCTACAAAACCTGCTACTCTGCCAGAGCTCTTTACACAAAAGGGAGACTACAGGGCCACCAATCCATAGCTCAATCTGTGGCCCAAGAGTGGGGTGAGCATAGGATGCTCCCAAGAGTTCTAATGAAAATTTAAATTTGAAAGAATGTATAACAAGAAGTCATGAGATTGAGCAGGGGCTCTGAAAGGCCATGAATAAGCCCAAATTAGAGAAAAGACCTAGGAGAGTGAGGAAACACCACAGCTAAGCTAAGAGAAGTAGAAGGAGAGAAACAGCAACAGGGAGTGTTGCTGAGCTGAGGATACAAAACCACCACTAGAGGGTCCTGCAGCCTCCCACCCCAGACTTGATGAGGCCCTTGTTATGCCTTATCAAGATGCAGATTCCTAAGCTTCCAAGACCCTCCCAGTACCATGTATCTTCATGTAAGTGCATTCTTCTCTCCTAGAACAGCTAGCCTCAGTGAGTATATGCTCCACACAATCTAAATAGCCACATGAATATAGTATACCTGTTCCTTGTATCTGGGGAGATTAATTCTAGGACTCCTCATGGATACCAAAATCCACAGATGCTCAAGTCCCTTATTTTAATAACATGGTATAGTATTTGCATATAACCTATATTTACATATAGGCTACAGCAGGGTGTACCCACACATCACTTCATTTGTAAGGAATCAGGCAGTGCTCACATGTGGCAAATTCAAGTTTTGCTTTTCAGAACTTTCTGGAATTTTTCTCCCCCTGAATACTTTCAACCCACAGTTGATTAAACCCACAGGTGTGAAAGCCACAGATGCAAAACCCATGAATATGGAGGGCCAACTGTACCATGAGTCTATTATGAAGAGTAAGCCACATCACTTTTCCACCTTCTCAAGGATAACTCAGGTGGCCTTCAGCCCTGCTCCTTGGTCCACAATTCCCCAGCTGGGGCCTGTGCCCACCCTTTCGCTAAGCACTACCCCCAGGGGTACACTTCCACCCTGGCACTCCAGCTACAGGGTCCCTGATGAGAGTGAGCCACCAAGATAGGCAGCACCATTATCCAGAAGCTCTCCCCTCCTTCCCTCTACTGAAAATGCACCGGCTTGGAGAGAACTAGGGCTGGAACCTGAGGTGTTCAATGGATCACCCTTCAGCATGGAGAATAAACATCATTTTAAATCCAACTCAAAGTAAAGAAACTCATCCCAGAAGTTACATGTTATCATGCTGCATGTGTATGCTAAAATCATGTAGCATTCCTCAATTTGCACATCTTCCGAGTCACCAAAGAATCTACACTTACTTTATAACAATATACATATATGAACATTGGGTATATTTGCTTTGCAAAGTTCCTAAGATTCTAATGTTTAATTTATTTGGAGATATGAAAATGACACCCCCAAATAACCTGTCACGACCTTGTCACAACTCTTCCTAAACCAAATTGAAGCTACAGGGATTTCAGGACCTATCAGACATTATGCTGTTACATTCCCACTGCAGAAACCACCCTCCTGTGTTTTCTCCTGAACCCTCCTCTCATAGAGCCATCCCAGGCTCCACTCTTGGGGGCTCCTCTGGCAGACCCCAGCCCAGCCAGAGAACAGGCACAGGCTCTGCTATCTAGACTCTGAAGATGAACATAGGGCTTTTACTGTCACTCACTACAGGGAAGTGGGCTGAGGGTAGCTATACCAAGGTCCCAAACTCCTAAGCTGCCTGTCTCAGATACTCAGTCCTACCCTTATCCTGAGACACAAAGCCTGCTTGAACTTCCTGTTCCCATCTTTTATTGTTTTACTTCTAAGGGTGACCAGTTCTGTTCAGCATCTATAAACAAGGCCAGAAATGTATCATGAAGGCCACAAGCTGGTCATGCTGTATTGTAGGGAAGTGAGACCTTGGACAAAGGGAAGACAGGAATGTCCAGCTATATTCACATCCTGTTCCCTCACTACTATGAGGTCAGCTCTCCTTCCTCTATGTTGCTGAGTCAAGTTTAGTAGCTCAGACTAAGGTACAGATGGGTGTCCCCTTTCCACACAATGGATGGAAAAGTGCACTGCTCCCTCAAAAGGTAGAGGGAATTTCCTAGTTATCTCATTCTCTGTTAGATAAGGACATTATCTCTTGAAAGCAGGTAAACTTTCCTGTATTCTGAAGGGAAGGCAAACCATGTAGGAGGAAAGTAGGATCTTATACGGACAGTGAGGCCCTTCCAGGGTCAGTGTACTGGGAGGAGGATGGTCTCAGAAGGGAAACTGAAATCAGGAGAAAATGGTCTCTCACTCCAGTCCTGATATTCAAGTAATCATGTCAAAATGGGAAGTCTGGGGTAATAATCACATGCCCATGAGAGGGGACTGATCTGAGATGGGAGAGAAGAGTCTCAGAGCAGAACAAAGTCTACCTTCAGAAAAAGCAGACTGTCTACACCTGTCACAGGACTTGTGATCACTTCTCTGCAAAGTTCCCATCAGGTGTATAATGGTAAACTCATGCACAGTTGGGTCTGTACTTATAGCAGAAGATTGTGCCTGTGAGACTCTGGCTGCAGTCCCAACCACTGCTCTCTGTTTATTTGGAAACTGGAAGAGTATGAGCATCCTCTCTCCATGTTCCTGCCCTGACATCTCATCCTCCTCAATCCCACAAAAAATATCACAAGGCACTCACAGCTTTGGGAGGCACTCCAAGCCTCCCAATGAGAAAAATAAGTCTCTCCTCATATTAGATCATAAGGTTTCAAGGAAATTTTAAAAATATACTTACTGTAGTTTTACATAAGTATAAACCAGCAAATGCTTTATCCTGGCTGACTCCAGAGTGAGAAAACAAGCATGATTTGTGCGGTCATTACAGCTGTCATAAGAGCCCTTTCTGTCACCAGCTCAAGAGGAGCCCAAGCAGGATTCAGGACCAAGTCCACAAGCAGATGCTCACAAAAGCAGAGCTGAGCAACTTTACAGAACTTAACTGGTATTATGCTGAGTAAAATGTATCAACCTTCCTACGAGGATTTAAAACACTGACCTGATCAACAACAGCAAAAAAACTGAAGCTTTAAGCTTCAAATATGGTTACAGGGTTACTGTCAAGGTCAAGGCAAGGCAAGGCAAGGGCCAGCATTGTCTGCTCAGAACACTGACAGCTCTCTGAGGAGCAGCAGGCAGGGTGGCTTGGGGTGGCCTCAAGGAAAAAGGAGACTGTGCCACACCTCCCTCAGGAGAGCAGCCCCTCCCTTCCATAAGGATCAATGACAGGACTGTTATAATAAAGGTATAAATGTCTAATATAAGAAAATTCAAATGTTTGAAGAAAACAGGCTCTCTCTGTTCCTGAAGTTCTTGGTTCTCAAACAAGAGACTTTCTGTCATGACAAAGAATGTAGCAAGCTCAGTACAAAAAAATTTCACAAAAACTTCCTCTTTGTAAAATGTTGTAATCAATTATATCAAACCTCTGGATTCTATCTAGGCCTAAATCTCAGCAGATATAACTTCTTAAGAATGACAACTACTTTCATACATTCTGTTTTGCTATAGTCAAGCCACTCAGCAGTTGCCTTCCCTATCAGACTCACTGCTTTGAATGATTTTTTTAAAGATTTTATTTATTTATTTTTAGAGAGGGAAGGGAGGGAGAGAGAGAGAAACATCAATGTGCGGTTGCTGGGGGTCATGGCCTGCAACCCAGGCAAGTACCGTGACTGGGAATCGAACTTTGGTTCGATACTTTGGTTCGCAACCCACACTCAATCCACTGAGCTACGCCAGCCAGGGGTTTTGTATGATTTTAATCAAGGCTGCCAAACATGTATAAAGAAAAGAAAACACTCCACATATCCTTGGTAGAAGTTAGCATTCCCCCTTTCTCTGTTTCTTTTTTAGAGAATTTACTGCAATTGGAAGGACTATCTTAACAGACTATCAAGTAGACTTCTCAATTTGAGCAGGATGCCACCCTTACCTTTCAGGCTTTTGCTTCAACTTCCTTCCCTTGTTCCATCCACCTGGGTTACTTCACAACCTCCCTATCTACCACCTCCTCCTCCTTATTCTCTGTTGCAAACTACCACTAGGCTTTCTTTTCTTTTACCAGCAAAGCTACTTGTAAACACTTGAAGTCGGAGGTCCCTAACAAAAGTTTACATCAACTAGGTTTTGGTCCACAAAAAATGGCCTGGTTGGTTTGCTTGCTTTTAAGCCAGAAGGAATTTGAAGAAGGAATGGATAAGGGGGGTTAAGAGGCAAATAGGGCTCATTTTTACAACTGGCCTCAAATTATAGTCTATCAAATCAATTACTTAATAGAAAAAATGGAAAAGGAAATACAGGTGGCTCTTCAAACATGAAAAGATGCTTAATCTCTGTCACAATGAGAAATACAAATTAGGTAGTCAGTGCCGGACCTGGGAGCCCACAGCCACTGCCATGTCCCACCAGAGGAGCATCCAAGCAAGTAAAGATGTTAAAAATGTCTTTGCCAGAACAAGAAATGGAAAATGCAGACTTCTGAAAATATCTATTGAAAATGAGAAACTTGTGACT